TGCCAAGGACCTGTCTGTCTGTTAATTAAATGCCGTAACTTATCTTTGACTCGGAGTGTGTTGGTGTGGGACGAGAGGGCTCAGAACAAGTAGCTATCATATTTCTTTGGTCACGAGGGATGCTCAGCGCTTGGATTGCCTATTTTTGGGTCTTATCTAAGACGTATATTCTGCCTTTTGGGGGGGGGGGCACTACTTATACCAAATGCTTTTGCCCTGTTTCATCAGGAGCCGAGCTTCATAAAAGGTTATCCTTGGAAAAGGGATTTCTACTTATTTCTTGAAATAAAATATTGAAATTAGACAGAAGAGAAAGACGAGAGCACAGGGACACAACGATGGTGCATTTTACTCCGATATTAATCTCAATAATCTCCAATAATCTGACACTGCAATAACCCAAATCCGACACTGGCAGTCCTCAATTTACAACAGTTCACTTAGTGACCATTCAAAGTTACGACGTCACAGAAAAAAAGTGGCTAGTGACCGTTTTTTCACTCCTGTTGCAGCATTCTCGTGGTCACATGATCAAAATTAACTTGCTTGGCAACTGGCTCATATTTATGACGGTGGTCCCCTTTTCCGACCTCCTGACCAGCAAAGTCAATGGGGCAGCCAGAGTCACTTAACAACCATGTTACTAACTTAACAACTTGCAGGGATTCACTTAGCAACTGTGCCAAGAAAGAAATTTAGCAACTGTGGCAACAAATTTAGCAACACTTAGCAACCGTGGCCGGGAAATTTTGCCGCCATTGTAAAATGAGGCAAAACTCGCCTAACAAATGTCTTGAGTAGCATCAGAAAGTGTTGGGCTCAATTGTGGTCGTAAGTCGAGGACTTCCTGTACTTCATTCCCAGTTTACCTAAAAGGTTTTAGCATTAATGTAGAAATAGTTGGGTACGTCTGCGCTGGTAGGAGCATCACAGTTGCAATTCTATACAGGTAGTCCTCGAGCTAAGACCACGGAGGTTTTGTCGTAAAGTGAAACATTTGTTAAGTGAGTTTTGCCTCGTTTTACGAACCTTCATGCCCCAGTTGCTAAGTGAATCACTGCAGGTGTTAATGTTAGTGGCCGTGTTGTTAAATGAGTTTTTCTTCCCCTTTGACTTTGCTCGTCAGAAGGTTGCAAGATGGATTCACGTGACCCCGGGAGCACTGCAACCGTCATAAGTATGAGTCAGGTGGCTGAATTTGGATCATGTGACCATGGGCATGCTGCGAGGGCCATAAGTGTAGGTTTCTTGTTGTAACTTTTGAATGGTCATTAAACGAACTGTTGTAAGTCGAGGACTACCTCGAGCCGAGGTGGCGCAGTGGTTAAATGCAGTACTGCAGGCCACTTCAGCTGACTGCTATCTGCAGTTCAGCGGTTCAAATCTCACCGGCTTACGGTTGCCTTCCATCCTTCCGAGGTGGGTAAAATGAGGACCCGGATTGTTGTTGGGGGCAATATGCTGACTCTGTAAGCCGCTTAGAGTGNTGTCTGAAATGGTATAGGGTTTCCTGCCTAGGCAGGGGGTTGGACTAGAAGACCTCCAAGGTCCCTTCCAACTCTGCTATTGTATTGTATTGTTTGTGTGTCTCTGTTTGTTTATGTCTGTCTGTTTGTGTGCCTATGGTGGAGCGGTATCTGTGTTTGTGTGCCTGTGTGTGTGTGTGTGTCTGTCTGGGTCTGTTTGTGTTTATGTATCTATGGTAGAACAGTGCTGTGTCTGTGTGTGTGTGCGTCCTTGTGTGCGTGCATGTGTGTGTGTGTTTCCTTGCCTATGTCTGTTTGTTTGTGTGTCTTTGTATCTGTGGTGCAGCAGTGTCTGTGTTTGTGTGTGTCTGTGTGTCTGTGTGTCTGTCTGTCTATATCTATTTGTTTGTGTGTCTATTTGTGGTGGAGCAGTGTCTGTGTGTCTATTCATCCCTGGTGCATCGGTGTGTTTGTGTGTCTATGTCTGTTTGTGTGTCTGTGTGTGTGCGTCCATGTCTGCGTGCCTATGTTGTGTTTGTGTAACCGGTGGGTGTCTATGCCTGTGGATTAGGATTATTGTACCCCACCCAGAGTCACCTTTGGGGAGGACGAATGGCCATATAAAAATGGAATAAATAAATAACTTTCTGAAAACAGGGTGTTTCTTCCCACAAAAATAAGAGACAGGAACCAATGTCTTCCCAGCTGTTGCAGGGATTCTCTCAACGCTCCCTCCTTCCACAGGACGCAAAAATATTCCTCTTTTTCCTACCTCCCCAGGTTTCCTTATGGATCTTTTTCCACCAGACAAAGAGAAAGAGAAGGAAAGCCTGCAGGTTCTGTGAAAGGGTGTTGGCCCAGGCTGATCCTCTGCGGGAGAGAGAGAAAGAGAGAGAGAGAGAAAGAAGGAAAGAAAAAGAGAAAGAGAGAAAGAAGGAAAGAGAAAGAGAGAGAGAAAGAAGGAAAGAGAAACAGAAAGAGAGAGAGAGAGAAAGGAAAGGCAAGAGAGAGGAAAAGAGAGAGGAAGAATGAGAAAGAAGGAAAAAAAGAGAAAGAGGGAAAGAGAAAGAAAGAAGAAAAGAAACAGAGAGAGAAAGAAAGAAAGAAAGAAAGAAAGAAAGAAAGAAAGAAAGAAAGAGGACAGGCAAGAGAGAGGAAAAGAGAGGGAGAAAGAAATAGAAAGAGAGTGAAAGAGAGAAAGAAGGAAAGAAAGAGAGAGAGAGAGAAAGGCAAGGCAAGAGAGAGTAAAAGAGAGGAAGAAAGAAATAGAAAGAGGGTGGAAGAGAGAAAGAAGGAAAGAAAGAGAGAAAAAGAGGAAAGGCAAGAGAGAGGAAAAGAGTGGAAGAAAGAAAAAGAAAGGGAGAAAGAGAGTGAAAGAGAGAAAGAAGGAAAGAAAGAGAGAAAGGAAAGGCAAGAGAGAGGGAAAGAGAGAGAAAAGGAGGAAGAGAAAGAGAGAGGGAGAAAGAAAGAAACAGAAACAGAGAGAAACAGAGAGAGCGCAAGAGAGAAGGAAAAAGAGGGAAATAGAAAGAGATGGGGAAAAGAGAGCGAGAGAAAGAGAGCGAGAGAAAGAGAGAGGGGGAAGAGAAACAAAGAGAGAGAAGAAAGAGAAACAGAAAGAAAAAGAGAGAGAGAGAAACATAGAGAAAGAGGCAGACAAAGAGAGTGAGAGAAAAACAGGGGGAAGAGAGAGAGAGAGAGAGAGAGAGAGGGAGAGAGAGAGAGAGAGAGAGAGAGAGAGTCAGTTTGAATGTTTGTTTGACTGAACTCATGAGAGCTAGCAACTTCATTATTATTGCAGGTAGATTCACAACTTACAACCACAACTTAGACCAGGATTTCTATCATTAAACAAGGCAGCTGTTAAATGCCTGACTTTATGCCCTCTTCTGCCACTATTGATAAGCAAATCACTGCAGTCATTAAGTGAATCACGTAGTTGTTAAGTGAATCCAGCTTTCCCCATTGACTTTGCTTATCATAATGTCGCAAAAGAGGATCACCTGACCCCTGGACACTGTGACCGTCATAAATATGAGTCAGTTGCCAAGCATATGAATTTTGATCACATGACCATGGGAAATTAAGGGTATTACGCTTTGAACCCGGGGACTTTGGGGCAATGGGGAATCGGTCACACTTACACCACGCCCAACTTGAAGGTGTGCAGGAGAATTGTGTTCATGATCACATTCAACACGTTCACCACCACGCCCGTCACGACTTGAGGCAAGAGAACAGCCTGGAATGCAAGAAAAAGGATTTGTGAACACAAGGAGAACGGTGGGATTCAGCCACTTCGGGCTGGTTCAGGCGAAGCGGTGGTTACATTGCTGGCTGGCCACGCCCCTCCCAGGAGACTCCATGCACCCTGTTTTGGCTTCCAGGTTAGTGCAGGGAGGCCTACTAGGCCCACAATGGAGCATGGGGGATTGTGGCGCCCCCCCCCCCAGGGGCCTGTTTTACTCCCAGAAGGCTGCAAGGAGCTCTAGTAGGCCCGAAACGGGGCCCGGGGGATTGTGAGACCCCCGCGCGGCCCATTTTTTGCTCCCGAGAGTTGCAGGAAGCTGAGTGCTGCCTATCACACCTCCTGGCCACGCCCACCCAGCCGGCAAAGAATCGGTTGTTAAATTATTTGAATCCCACCACTGCATAAGGGCACAATTCAGCAGTGCTCTGATGCAGGCGGAAGCTCAACCAGTTGAAGCCAACATGTAAGCTACCCGCAGGCGCCAGACCGCTGACTTTGGGGACAGAAACAAGGGGGGAGGAGTTTAAACCAGAAGAGATTGGACGGCCATTTGTCTGAAATGGGATACAGAGGGCAGTGTTGGTGAACCTTTTTGGCACTGAGTGCCGGAAAACTGGAAGAGCAGACACCCGGTGCGCATGACCTGTCAGTGGTAGGTCCCGGATCCCGTTGCAACTGGTACGCCGCGCAAGGGGCTGGAAGTCCTAGTCGGGCACACGCGCTGCGCACACCTGCACACACCACCGGCCTGCTACACCCAGCTGCTCGGCGGTGGTCGCACAGGCGCCACAAGCTGTGCACGCGTGTGCAATTGGCTGGTCGCGTTATAAAGAGCTATGGAACATGGGCGGGCGGCAGGGGTGGGTTCCTGCCAGTTCTAAGTTCTTCTATAGAAGAGGTTCCACAAATCTACCGTGACGTTTAGAACCGGTTCCAGCTCCCTCCCCCCGCCCGTCCGCACAGCATCAAGATGAAGAGCGAGAGGAGGAATTCTGGGAGTTGAAGTCCACAAGTCTTAAAGCTGTCAATTTTGAACACGCCTGGGGTTTTTTTTCTCTCTAAAGG